CCCCACATCCCAAAACTATAAGGCAGCAGCCACCTACCACCATCCACCGAGGCACAGCCACAGATGCCCCAAAACAGCAGCCGCAGCCCTCCAGCTCCCACGATGCCACAAGATTTCTACTTCAACATTGGAAGGAACTATTTCCTCTTCTGCCTTTCATAGTCATGTGCAAAATACAGCTGTATAAATGTGTCCAGCCCTGGCGTGCGCACTCACAACAATGGCTGAGTGTAACTGGAGTTACGTGCAGACGTATTTTACCTCCACAAACAGCCGAGATGTGGTTTGCAATACATGTGGCAAGACAGTGAGGTGTTGTGGCAACACCACTAACCTCGTGAAATATCCATCCATCCATTCGCTTCCGCTTATCCTTTTCAGGGTCACGGGGGGCACTGGAGCCTATCCCACCTGTCATAGGGCGAGAGGCGGGGTACACCCTGGACAGGTCGCCAGTCTGTCGCAGGGCCAACACACAGAGACAGACAACCATTCGCACTCACTTTCACTTGCACATTCACACCTAGTGACAATTTGGATTAATCCATTAACCTATCCCCACAAGTTGCATGTCTTTGGACGGTGGGAGGAAGCCGGAGTACCCGGAGGGAACCCACGCAAACACGGGGAGAACATGCAAACTCCACACAGAAAGATGGTCTGATGGTAGAATTGAACTCAGGACCTTCTTGCTGTGCGGCAACAGTGCTAACCACCGTGCCACCGTGCTGCCTCGTGAAATACCTCAGAGTAAATCATATCACAGAATATGACGAGTTTATGTTGAGGCGAACTGAAGAGGAGGAGAGGGACAGGTGCTGCCAGGGCGAGACAGACATCTCTCACTGAATCCTTTAGTGCTGCATGCAGGCAGCGTGCTCAAATAGCGCACAAGGTTTTTTATTTCTATATGATGAATTCTGCATTATTAAGTGATAAGAACGAGTAATATGATGTCCTGTAATCATGATGATGCTATAATTTGAGATACAATAAATAAAGTAAGTTTTTGTACAAAGTATCGTATCGGATAAGTATCGTCGATACCACCCTGAATTTTACTTGGTATCGCATCGGAAAGGAAATCAGTGGTATCGCACATCACTAGTGGAAATGATTGGGTTTGCGTCTTACTTGGCAGGTATGGCTCTGGAGGGAGGGGAAATGGCCGAGTGAGCGTCCTGCAAGACAAGTTAGTGGAAAACAAGGCAACAAGTACAACACAGAAACACCAAGCATGCAGCACTGCAGACTGTTACTGACACAAACTGGCAGCGAAGAGATGCTGACTCTGGTCTTAAGTACTGATTGCCTCAGATCTCCATCAGTTGAGCTGAGCAGGTGGAATAATGACGACTCCACCCAGAGGCGGATAACAAGGAACACACGGAAACAGTAGAAAGACACAGGATGCTCGCGTGGACCATGACAACATATTTGCTGCCGAGCACAGTCTCTACACCAAAATTTGTGTTTTCTTATTTATTAATTAAATTTTAATTTAAGTTTATTTCAGCTTGTTAAATTATTTGTTTTTGTGGTAAGGTAGCATAGGCAAATTCGAATAATTACATTTTTGTTCTACTGCTAATACAGCAAGAATTAGAACAGTGAAGTTTATTTTTCTGGTAATTAATATGGCTCCTTGTGTAAGGAGTATCAGAACCTTTGAGATGCATTCTTTCTAAATACAGAGTCTCTGTGGCTTTTACGCCCCAAAACTGCGCCATAAATTGGTCCACCCCAAGGATCGGGTCCCCTGACATGAACAGAGTAACATAGTGTACGCTGTTAAGTGCCAGGAGGACTGCCAGGATTTATACATCGGGGAAACCAAACAACTTCTGGCGAAGCAGATGGCACAACACAGAAGAGCAGACATTCCCCAACTCTCTGTGAATGGGACTCGTAGCCACTGATCAGTAGTCTTTGATCAATGATCTCCCAGCCTTTTGAGATAAGAACCAGTCCATTTTTATTGCTGACAATAGATATGGTCAGCAATAAAGTGAAGGTAAGCTGTGGTATTTAAACAATGCTTAAGTGGTACTAATGGGCCCATTGTTTGCTAAGAAAATATTCCCCACACCATTACACCACCATCAGCCTGTACTGTTGATATGAGCCAAAATAGATTTCACATTGTTTACACAAAATTCTGACCCTACCACCAGAATGTAGCAGTAAGAATTGAGACTCATTTTACCAGATTGATGAGCTCCTGCAAATTGTAGTCTCCATTTCCTGTTTTTACCTGAAAGGAGTGGCACCCATTATGCTCCTCTGCTGCTATAGCCCATCTGCTTCAAGATTTAATGTGTTGTGCGTTCAGAGAATGCACTTTCTGTCTGGCTATTCTCATCTGACTTCTGGCATGACCAATGCACTTCCCCCCGAAAAAACTGCCACTCTGTGGATATTTTCTCTTATTAAATTACTCTTTTGTAATGCTCAGTTTGAACTTCAACAAGTTTTTTTGACCATAGCTACACGCTTAAATGACTTACTGCCATGTGACTGAGTCACTAAATATTAGCGTCAATGGGCAGTTGAGTGGGTATAACTAATAAAGTGGCTGATAAGAGTACATCAGGGGATCAACCAGTTACACACAATCCTGCTTTGCCATAAATCAACCTGTTTGCCCAACTAGAGGACCAGTCAGGGTCACGTTTGAATTAAATGGGTAGTCCATTAGCATGAATTCTGAACAGATTGGTGTTAAAATTAGATAATTGCATTGCTTGTGCCATAGATTAGCATCTTGGCAGGTTACAAAACAAATATCTGACAAACACAGTGAGTTCTTTTGTTTTTATTGTTTTTTCTTTGTTTGTTAATTTTTATTTATTTGTTTTTTGGGGTGGGGAGGGGGTGTCTTTTACTCTTAGATGATATTTAATAAAAATATTTTGTTACAAACTCCTTCCAATCCTTCTTCATTTTTTGTTGCCATAGTACCGGATGAGGAATCCAGCGCATATGACAATGTCATGTTGGCTTGCATTTTGAAAAATGGCACAAAAGTTATACACAGTCCATTAAAATGCCTAAACTTCCATATGTGATGCATTGGAGTGAGACCATCCTCACCTCACTCTCTCTTAGTCTCAACTTCTGAAAACTTCTATTCTGATTTCCTTTTGTGTTTGGGGATTGGTTTGAGGCTTTAACTATAATAGTACATAAGCACTATAGGCATAAACCCTTTTTCTGCTTGAAAAACTGGTGCAATGAAGTGGCTGTTATACTTCCACCTGGCCTGACTGTCATTATCCCACTGATTTCAATGTCAGACAAAGTACTCAACACATTCCCTCCAACACTATCTGCTGCAAACAGGCTCCATGTTGATCAAAGTAGGGCAGGAGAGAAAAGGATGAAAATGCTGATAGTGATGATGACAGTGATCACTACTGTGATATCCTCAGTATTTTGATACAAGCTGATAAAAACGGCCTCTTTCTGCACAATTCAGGGCCATTTTTCATCAAGAAAGGACAGCTGTAATCATCCCTTTTGCTTTCCTGTCCCATCCGTCTTCCCCTTAGCATGCATCAGGATCAATCTAGGTTCATTTATTTTAATCATCTCTTATTTGCAAAACTGACAAAGTCAAAAGAGGACAACAGAAACAAAGTTAATTTTGAAAATAAGTCAAAGTATACATTTATACAACTCCATTCCTTTGGAGTAACATTCACATTTTTTCATTAGAAAACATAATTTTTAATCCCCCCCCCCCCCCCAATCTGTTTTAAATTAAATAAGTTAATTGTCAGCATTAGATTCTCTATGAATTTTTTTAAAATCAAAAATATGCACAAAAAAATCCAAACCTCAGACATGAGCAATGATACAATTAAAAAACAATTAATTAACAATACATTTTGAATCCTATAACTTTTTTAATGATAAATTAAGTGTCATTTTGAATCTTTGAAAAATATATGTGGATAATTTATTTGTCCACCTTTTTCATGTTGATACGGTGCACCCAATCTGATTGTTCAAACCTGAGTTATTCTATATAGTTATTCCACCATAATGTGAGAATGTTCATAAATATATATTTTAAATGGAAATTTAAACTTTTACCATCCCCATGAATGTTCAGTGCTGTTGACATCAATTCCAGCTCAAATAGGTACATTTTTAGAAAAGTTCTGATGTGCATAAAAATTTTATCCCATTTATTTATTTTTATAGTCAGCTTTTTACACACTAACCTTTATTAACCTGGGGCGATCGTGGCTCAAGAGTTGGGAGTTCGCCTTGTAATCGGAAGGTTGCCGGTTCGAGCCCCGGCTTGGACAGTCTCTGTCGTTGTGTTCTTGGGCAAGACACTTCACCCGTTGCCTACTGGTGGTGGTCAGAGGGCCCGGTGGCGCCAGTGTTCGGCAGCCTCGCCTCTGTCAGTGCGCCCCAGGGTGGCTGTGGCTACACTGTAGCTTGCCATCACGTGTGTGTGAATGGTTGGATGACTGGATATGTAAAGCGCCTTGGGGTCCTTAAGGACTAGTAAAGCGCTATATAAATACAGGCCATTTACCATTACCATTTATTTTCTTTGTATTTAACTGAGTTCTTTTGTGTTATGAAGTTTTTAGCTCATGGAAATTTTGTTGTGCTACATACAAATTTCAAGCTATTTATTAGTTTTAGCTGTTGTAACAAGGATTTCCCAACTTTCAGAATGAAAAAAGTTGTTATTCTATTGGTAATTAGTAATTAGTAATAGTAATTACTCTTAAAAAATCCATAAAATCCCCTAAATTGGATAGTCTATGATAAAAACGTGTATACAGTAAGTGCTGTTTTATTAATTTCTATGGTTCCAAAACTTAGCATTGGTTTTATAGTAGGCCTACATGCACTCTATACACAATTAATGTCATCATTAATTAAATAAAGTTTATAAACTCAGATATTATTATTTTGAGTCACTAACTCTCACGTGACTGTCATATTGTACTACGTAACTGTCCTCATAGCAACAATATGCAGCCGTCAGTACGTCACCACGGTGTTCTCCATTGTCCATATACCATGCTTCTGATAGGAGACCTGTCGTAGTGAACGTGAAGTACAGAGTGAGTTCTTCCACGTTGTCATTTTTATATATAGATTTATATATATTCAAATTGTATTTGCCGTCTGGCACAATTAACAATTATTTGTTCCCTCAAACTGTTGCTAGTTAGCTAGCCCGGCTCTACTTTGTGACTAGTAGTGATGTTGCTGGTATGCTAAATGCTAATGCTGTTGTGTTTTACGTGCAGTTTTGCATTAACTTGGTCTGATGCTAACACATTAACTTGGATCTTACTTTTGAATGCTTTTAATTGTGTCCACATATATATATATATATATATATATATATATATATACTAAAAGCATCACGAGCATCAGTGATTCAATTAGAAGGTCATAATTTAAGTACAGCTACTAATGCTCAGCACGATTAGCTATGGTGCTTGACGGACCAAAATGTCTGGTAAGTGTACCTCTTAAGCTGTTTTAGACGACTATCGTAGATTCTTCAGTTAAAAAGAAAAACAAACATGTATCGTTCGTGAAAACAAAACAGGGACCGCTTTTGATAGCCGTTTAGGCGCAGCGGTGCTATTTGTTTGCTAACAGTGTGCTAATAGGCAAGTTGCGTAGCTAAGAGCTGTACAAATCCCAGCATCAGAAAACCTAATGTCTGCAGCTGATTAACGTTGTGTTTCGTGTTGGTGTTGAAGGGAAAACAATAGATAGGTTTACGCCACTATTTAAAGCCGCGTTTGAGAGAGAACTGTCCTTTTGATACAGGATACCCGAACGTTAAGGGCTAAAAAGTAATTGGACGTTTGGGTGCTGAATATTTTGTGTAGCAGCATAGATTGATTTGCATAAAGCACAAATTGAGTTTGCTTTAAATGTCTTTAAGTGTAACTCGCCGTCAATCTGAGGTGCAGACCGTACAGGTGAACTAGACCATCATTACAAAACAATCTCTACATTGAAGCAACTTTGTGTTATCGTACACAACCTACCTACGGCACTGCGGTACCTTTGGTATTTTATAGGTATATATAAGGGTATGTATTTTCCTATGACAAAGGGAAGTATGACTGAATGAAGGTAGACAAGAAACAACACAGCCAGGAGTTTTCAACCATAAAACTCCTACTCTTTCAAACATACTTTTGTGGAGTCCACCAAAACTCAGCAGCATGTAGGCCAATGCTGATTGATTGGCAAGTGGGATGAAACTGCTTCTTTTGTTCTGGAGTTCACCAGGAATGTGGGAGGCAAGAAAAAGATTATGCATGAAAAGCATAGACTTGGCTGCAGAAAACAGTATAGGCCTTCAAAGTCTGGAACTATCTTGCTGACAAATTGTCAGTGGCTCTCTTATAGACATTTTTCAGCCCTTTATGGACACTTAAGTTTACCCCAACTCAGACACTCCTCACAGTGTTACTGGAGCTTAAGGTAGTGGCATCCAGAGGCTAGATTCCATATTTGTAAGACTTTTTATGGCCGAGCACAATAACCTCAGTTTTATCTGAATTTAGAAGCAGAAAATTGGAGGTCATCTACCTACCTTTGAGACATTCCTGCAGTTTAGTTTAACTAAATAGTGTGTGTTATCTGTTTTGGATAGATAAAGTTGAGTATCACCTGTATAACAGCAACAATGTATTCTATGCCTTCTAATGATACAACCTAAGGAAAGGATGTATAATGTAAAAATAATTGGTGCTAGCACAGAACCTTGTGGAACTCCATAATTAACCTTAGTGTGTGAAGAGGACTCTCCATCTGTTAGACAGATATGTTTCAAACCACTGCAGCGTACCTATAATACCTATAGCATGCTGTAATCGCTGTAATAATATATTATGGTCAGCAGTACAGAATGCTGCACTTTACATATGGGCACATAACCACCTGCTAGCATCTCCTTTTCATAGCCCAATTTTATTTGAAATACTGTCAAATAAAATATTATCACTTTTATGCTTTATAATGATCATTATGCAATAAAGTAAAAACAATTTTGCATGGTTAAACATGCAAAGCTTATCTGCTTTTTATAGTTTTTTTCTTCTCAGCTGTGTTTTTCTGCTCATGACATCTTACTCAAATGTTGCATTCTTGTCTGTTGGTTTCTGGGACTCCCCCATGTAGTGGACCGCAGTTTAAAGCGACGGCAGGTAAAACCACTTGCTGCCTCTCTGCTTGATGCCTTGGATTATGACAGTTCAGATGACAGTGACTTTCAAGTAGGAGATGCTTCAGGTAAGTATGGCCTTTGTGATGTCTAGCAGTATTAAATACATGCATAGTTTTTTATTGTTCAGAAATGAACAGTCCAAATGGCTTGAGACTAATAAGCTTTTGGCTGGCTAGCTTAAATGCAAACTGTTTTATTTAATTTAATTTAATTTAATTTAATTATTTTATTTTATTTTATTTTATTTTAGAAAAGTTGAAATGCTGCGCAAAATTTAATAAAAATGCTATGACTTTACAGTATTAGAAAATAAAAGAAAATAATTTAACCCCAATATTTCATTTACATAAAACAACATATGAAATGATGAATTTTAATTTTCTTATGCACAAGTCACTAACTTTGGAATAAAACTTTCCGGTGTAATTTTCTTTTTATGAATTTCGTCATCTGTGGTTCATAATAATCCTAAATTTCAAGAATCTGAAAAATATCACATTAGGCTTTCTTCTGATGATTTTCTGAAATTTTCTATAGGGTTATTTTCGGGGCTTTGAGCGGACCATTCACAGACTTTATTGTACCCTGCTACATCGATTTCAAAACTAGTTTGGATGTGTGTTTGGAATAACTTTCCTGCTGGATAAAGCCGTTGCATCTCAGTTTTAACTGTTAAGCTTTTGATTTTAGATGAAGTTGAGGAATTTGGAGGAAGTCAATTCCTCCAAATCTTTCTATACTAGAGGATGATGCCCATGTGAGCAGCTGCACATTTTAGGCAAGGCAAGTTTATTTGTATAGCACAATTCAACAACAAGGTGATTCAAAGTGCTTTACAGAGACATTAGAAACAAAAACCAAAAAAAAGCATGATTTAAAATTGATTAAAACAAGCAAACAAACAAACTAATTAACAAACAAACAAAACGGTATATAAAATCAAAACAGATAAAATCAGTAGTTTAAATGCAAGTTTTGAAATTTAAGCTTAACAGTGTGGATTTGGTGCTTTATTCAAATGCAGCTGAGAATAGGTGAGTCTTCAACCTGGATTTAAATAAACTGAGTGTTTCAGCTGATCTGAGGCTTTCTGGGAGTTTGTTCCAGATATAAGGAGCATAAAAGCTGAATGCAGCTGCTCCGTGTCTGGTTCTGACTCTGGGAACTGATAAAAGACCGGATCCAGATGACCTGAGGGATCTGGAAGGTTCATACTGGGTCAGGAGGTCACTGATGTATTTTGGTCCTAAACCATTCAGAGCTTTATAGACCAGCATCAGAACTTTAAAGTCTATCCTCTGACG